GTTGGAAATGTGCCTCTAATGGGGGATTTTTAACCTCTTGCCTAATCCTCTGACTCCCTAACATCCCTCCTGTTTGATGATTCGTCATGTGTTTCTCATTTAACCTGCACATTAAAAAAAAAAAAAGTATCTTCTCATCAGCCCCGGGGTTATTCTGTATTTTCCGTTCATCTTTTAGAGGGCAGAGCATCGGCCTGTCTTCCTCTGGAGGTATCCATGTCCTTCACCTGCTGTCTGTTTCCCACTTCTGTTAGCCTGAGGTGGTTTTTGTTTGAAGCTGCTTCCTTCTATCATCCCGGTTTCTGTCATCTCGTTAAAAAAAAAAAAAGGCAATCTTCCCTATTCCCAGTTCACTGTATGGCTTTTTATTCCTATCTGACTGTGCTAATGGCTCATATAGGGATGGAAGCCATGCACTGCGCTGGGAGCAAAGCACACTGGGCCACAAACTCATCTCTTACACCTCTCACACACACACACACACACACACACACTCACACACGCATCCTCACAACATTCACACACTTTCACTCACTGAAGGCAACAAATGCACAGACACGTTCAGACGCCTGTCTCAGAAGAAAAATGTCCTTGCACATGCACTTCACAAATAAACATTTATGCATTTGTTTATGCGTATGCATGCGGTAGTTATGCATATGTATGCTGAGCGCCATTACAAACACTCCGAATGGAAATACCCTGCCCTCCCCGTCCCTCCCTCCCTCCCTCCTCGTCCCATCAGGCCCCTGCTGCAGCGAGTCAGTCTGAAGCTGTCAACTGTATCGGCTGACAGACGGTTCTCTGAAGTGAAGCACGCACATCTGCCACAGCATCCCAACATGTTCGATCCAGATCACAACAGAGATGGATGGAAATGATACTGAGAGGAAGCGGACTGGATTGATTCAGAACAGGGAGGGAGAGACGCGCTTTCAGGGGAACGACGCAGGCTTGTCACCAAAGAATTCATTCTGTCATGCTCTTTTCCAGTTCAAACCACTTTTCTTTTTTTTCTTTTTTTTTTTGTTTTGCTTTGTTTTTGCTTTTGTATTTGGAGATCTCTTGGGGATGAAACAATGTTTCAGGTGGGAGAACTTCAGGAGGTGTTTGGTGTGGAGATGATTTTAACCAGAGTTCTTTTTTTTTTCTTTTTTTTTTTTTTTTGCAGCTGTGTTAACAGCCAGATGTCTTCCTGACAGAAACATGCATAGTAACGATGATTTATGCCACGCAATGAAGATGAAGACATATTTATAATATATTTATAATGCAGTTAGGCATAAAACAGATGCGTACTCGGAAACTGAGATGAATATTTATATCAAAGAACAACTGATGAAGACGATTCGTTTTCCCCACTATGAAACATCACAAGAAACAGAAACAATATGAAATCTGGCTCATCTGCTTTCCCTGAACACTGGCTTGATTAGCATGTCTTCACTTGACAGGTGACTCCTATTGACACGTTTCCATATTAAAGTTAAATCTTCAGTAAATGTGATGTATTAGTCCTTTTTGATGTATCTGTTTCATCTCAAACCTTTGCTCTGTCGTCATGATTGTTTTGTGCAAAAAGTTTAGGACAAGATTCACACTAAAGGAGAGACTGCTCCTAAATTCACACCATTGTGCTAAATATTGACTGAGCACTTCACAAAGAGCTGTATCGATATTTTATTTACAGATTTTATTTTGCTTGTACTTGAAGTTTGAACTCCTGATCCAGATGTTTTCATCATGATTATTTGGGGGAGGATTAACACATAAAGCAAAGGGAGGGGAAAAAATGCACCGATTATTTGGCCAGACATCAGCTTTGATTTGGGATCGCCTCCATTGAACACTGAAGTCTGAAATCATTTTCCCATCCAAGAAGATATGAAATTAAGAGCAATGAGAGCATGTAGTATTTTTCAATATTTAAAAAAAAAAGTTTTTTTGGGGAAAAGTTACAGACAGAAATGCACTGATCCAGCTTTTATGGGGCCAATATTGATTTTCAGCTTTATTTGGGGTCAGACAAACTGACATATTGATTCTGATTTTGATCAGTTGAGCTTTTTTTCTAACAAAAAAATAAAATAAAATAAATAAAAAAAAAAAAGTGGTTTTGGATCCAAAAGAAAATGACAAAATTTAAAAGACTGTTCAAATTTAGTCTACATTTTAGCATCAGAGCATATGTCTTCGACACATATGTTTTTTTTTGTTGTTGTTTTTTTTGTTTTTTTTTTTCATTAAATTGATTGAAGGGCATCAATTATTGTTGTTGGAAAGATGTGCTTGACCTCAAAGACAAAATGTTTTTTTATTGGAGATGCACTGATTAACGGGTTAGAGATCAGCTCTGATCTCTGATATCAAATGCTAAAAAAATTCTTCCTAGCCAAAAACAATCTCGATTCCATTTTTTTTTATCTTAAAAATATGATTCATAAAACAAAACGTGCTACAAGTGGGTTGATAGAGATAGTAGTTTTGAATCAGATTTTTTTTTTTAAAACGGAGGAATATCAAAGTATTGTGTAGCATGTTCTGCTATGTGTGTGCTGTTTGTGTTGTTTTCTGTTCGTATGGATAAAGTAAAAAGAAAAGAAACACTTCAAATTTTCAATATTTGAATTGCAAATCAGTGATTACAAAAAAAACAAACCGGCTGAAGGAACGATAAGAACATCTATAAAAGTTATCAACTGGTTTTTATTTCAATATAATGAAAGTTTGGGCTAAAATTACACTATCACATTTAATACTAGCCATTTTTATAGATGCCACTTTTCACAAGATTCATGTTATTATAATGTAATCTAGTTAAAAAAAAAATAGTGGTAGCGTTCAGCTCAATAGGTAATAGCTAAATTTCATAGCTGACAGTTGATTTTAATTGCCTTTAATTTGTCTCTCAGCGGGGATGCTTTTCTGCAGCTGTGCTCATGATTCACTTCTTTATAGTTAAATGCCATAAACGTAAAAATGAACTCCTTGCCTGCGCAGAATCCTATCGTGAGGCTCGCTTTTTATAGAATTCAATGACTGCTCTCAATATGTCACTGAGGGAAATAAATTGAAGATAACACTTAAATATCAAGAGTAGGAGGACTCAGTTTAAGCGCTTCAAAGGTCTTCATGCACAGCAAGCTAATTTATTATGTATTAGACAGGATCTTCTGAGCAGATATCTGTAATTTAGTTTCTTCTTGTCAAAATGAACATTTCAGATCAACCGAAAGTGAAATGTGTTGTCAACAATCCATATTCCTAACGTTTCAGATTTCATTGTTTGTAGGAATTTATATCAGAATGAACATTAAGGATGTCTGGAAAAGAGCTTCAGAGAAAACTCACATTGTTACCATAGTGATAAGTTTTACTATTTGTATCCATAGTGAGGGAAATAACTGCTCCAGATTTCTAAATCCATCATTTTAAGTCTCCATTTGATTTAGTAAAGATATATAGAGAGGCAAACATTGTTTGTACAATGATTAGTTGTATTAACTTGTCAAAAGAGTCTGGTAGCTCTATTCTCTATTTTTATCAGCAACAATTAAGTTTAATTGTGACATTTCCTTTAGAAATATATGCAAGTTTCAATTAAACTTTTTTCAGATGTGTGAAAACCATTGAATAGTGTTATGTCTGAAATAACTTTAATTCAATCTGTAGAGACTCACACAGAGAGAAAAACAGCAGTTAGACAATTTTATTGGACCGAGAATTTGGCGCTCGGACACTGGCGGAAGACGTGCATGCTGAGAATCGCAGCGAGCTTGAATGATCGGCTCGAACGAAGCTCAGGTAGGTCTTCCCCCGGGCCCGGTCACTGGTGGTGGAGCGGAGCTTGGAGAGAGGAGTCTTGAGGGGACCTGGAGGCGTCTGGGAGGCTGGTGGTGGAAACGGGGAGGAGGTGGGTTGAAGCACAACTGAAGCGGGTGGATCTGTGGTTGCTTCGTCTTTTGAAGGAGCTCTTGCCAGGTGATTGGATCGAGGTAGAGAGGTGGTGCGTCCTGATTGGCTGGGGTGAAGGCGTGGTGATAGGTGATGCCAGAACAGTCTTACAGGTTGAATTTCCGCCTAGGGCTTCACTTCCATGTATGAAGACTGTGAATAAATGGAGCTTGAAGCTTGGTAAACATCAATGGGAATATTGACAATTTTGATTCAAGGCAGAACGAAAATACTTCCTAGAACCTGGAATCATCAATCAATGGATTGACTTGGAGGAAATATACCATTCATATCTGCAATATCCAAGCTAGTCTTTTAGCGTAAAAACGGTTGGTTAAACTTTTTAAAGCATGTTGCCTCCTGGCAGAGGCAGATTGTGGCTGCTAATGAAGTTGGGATTTCACACATTAACCCAAAGCAACAGAATCGCAGATGTTATGCCTCTGTGGCAAACATAACATTTAGTTCCTGTTTTCAAGCATCTGCATACCAAGAATTAGCCGATTCTATAGTACAAAGTTTTCCTGATTAAATTTAAATGGTTTTGAGAATACTGTAAAATTGCTCATGCTCTGGAGTGAGTGAAAGACATTCATAAATGAACAAAATGAAGGACAAATAAAGAAAGCATGCATTTAAATAATTAAGTAACAAATGAATCTCTGTTGCAGACTTTTAAAACAATAAAATGTCTAAAACTGAATTTTAGACATCTTTTTATTTCAGTTATTGTTAGTAAGAATCTCTTTTCAGTATAGGTGTCTACTGTTGAAAGTATGATTTGATTATATTTAACAACAGCCTTCCATAAGGAAGAAGTTTTTCGTGATAGTTTTATGTAAAATGAGGTGCAACACTGCCGCTTAGTGTTTAAATGAGGCATTACAATTTAATAATTGAATGTATTTAAGATACTTGGTACACATTTATACATTAATTTAAGGGTTAATATAAGCTGGTTCACTATAGAGCTCCCGTGGTTTAGAAGAAGCAAATTCATCTCTTTCTGTAATTTATTTCCAGTGGAACAAAATGACGACTCCAGCGGAAGTGATGTCACGGTCCGGCCCCCAAAACAGCAACCAGGGTCTCTGATGTTATGAAAACTCCTCGATGAAATGTTGAGTAAGTGCCTGCTTCATCAGCGTTACACAAGACCATGTGGAGAGGTTAGTATCAGCTACTCCAATAGTTGACCAAACAAAACCTCCAGGAAGTAGTCTGGACCGAGAGAAGACACCAGGCGGGTGGCATGGCCAAGCGGAGAAAGTGTGCAGAGACGGAGGCCGATACAAAGAAGCCGAAGCAGGTGCTGAACGCAGAAGACAGAGGAGCAAAGACGAGAGGCAGGAAGAAAGCTCCAGGTATTAAAAGTCGGGGATGCAAATCTGACGTGCTTTTTATCAGTAGTAGCTGTAGCTTTGCAAGGGTTGCTGCTGGCATCCAGAAAACTGCAATAGATATGTAAATCTGTACCCGAGATCATTGTTTCAGCAGCAGAGTGAGTGAATATTATAGGTTAATTTACCTCTAATTGACATCCAAAGTATATTTCCAGTTGTGCAGAACATTGTAACTTTCACATTCATTTTTGCAGGACATGAAGAAAGCACTGAGTTTGTTGTTGCGATTTGATTGTTGTTTTAAATCAAGCCCCCTACTTGTTGTAAATGAACGTTTTAATTTAATCCCTCTTTATTGTGCACATGTATTTTCATGCTGCTGGCATAAGCAGACAGTTTGAGCTTTCAGTGCAGGTGCGTGGATGAATGGTGTGCATGGTTACTGGAGTGGATCTGCTGTCCTACATGCACATCTGTGCTCCACTTCATCAAAACATGATGCACAATGCTTCAGTACGAAACATGAAAGATTGGAGTTTTATAGTCTAGCTGGTCTGTCCATTGGTTTTATTTTTGTTTTTCTCCCTGGTTTTACGGTTTCACAGCGGTGTTGATCAGATGTTCACACGCACTCATCGTACACATGGATTTTGTATTCATTTTAGGTTTTTCATGAGCAATTTAAACTCAATTCCATGCAACAAATAATTTTGATACATTTGGAATACAAGTTTCGATCTGTTGCAATATTTTTTGAAGCCACGTTAAGATCCTTTTCAAAAACTTGTGAATTAGGGCCTTAAAAATGGATTAATCCAAAGAGAACAATCACATTTAATGAGCTTATTTGACAATAAATTCAAATGTGTTTATTCTGATTGACACTGTACTTTATTTTTTATTGTCAATTTTTTTGGGGGCGGTAGAAAATGATCCCGCAGAAAAAGAGGAGAAGCTCGAGAGGAAGGTCAACCCCAAACCACGTTGGTCTTCAAAACGTGCAGCGCAGAATAAATCCTCTTCAGCCACCAACACCCGCAGTAAAACCAGTAAGTACTTCCAGTCTCCGCCCAAGGAGGAGGTCAACAGTGAAGACGACTTTGAGATGCCGACTGCTGCGCCACCCGTAGTTAAGAAGAGCACCAAGAAACCAGAGGAGGAAGAAGAAAAAGAGGAGGAGGAAGAGGATGATAGTGAGGATGAGGATGACTGGGAGGAAGTGGAAGGTAAGCGCGGAAATTCAGAGATTTGATGGTGTGAGCTGACGGTTGGAAAGGAATCTGAAAACACTGGGTTTGTTTTTGTGCATGTATGTGTGTGTGTGTGTGTGTGTGTGTGTGTGTGCGCGTGTGTGTGCGTGTGGATCAGAGCTGGCCGAGCCGCTGGGTCCGGCTGAAACACCAGAACCCGTCCTGCCGTCTCAGCCTGTAGAGATCGAGATCGAGACCGCAGAAGTCAGAAAGCAGTGAGTAGATATTTGCTGGAACGATTAGAAATACTCCAGATATTTTTGCTTTAGTGTTATTTTTAATTATAATTTAGAAAAAAAATATTACAAAGTTGAAATAATAGTTTACACCCCTTTACCTCTCACCCCAAAAACATGCAAGTCGATGGGTTCAAGAGGACACCGCTGTCCTCATGGCGGTTGACGGGCTTTCAAGATGGATGATTTCATGAACTTTGGGTTTTATAGCAGACATGCAGATAATTACAAAAATATTCTCAGCCCTTGGTCTTTTTCACATCTCATGTTAAAATATGGCCTGCAGTAGACCAAATTAGTGAAATGAACAGTGGAAGGAAAACGATTCACGGTTTTCTGAAGCTTTCATAAACAAAGGTCTGAAAAGTGTGGAGTGCATTTGTATTCAACTCACCACCTCCAAATCAACACTTTGCTGAACCAGTTGGATTTGAGTCTTGCCTTTGACTAGGACATTATAGTACATAAATGAGCTTTGATATGAAACTGTTAATCATATGCATAGCCCTGATTGTATGTGTAGAAGCCTTTTCCTGCTGAAAGGTGAACATGCACAACATAATCAGTCCAGAGGCCACAAATGGAACAAAACATCCAGAAAACTGCAAAAACATTCGAAACACTGAAATCCTTTGAATCAAGGCTAAAACCCACCTGTTTAGAGTAGTAAACAGAACATGGATCAGTATGTTCGATGTGCATTGACTTGATGATTTTGATGATGGCATTGAAACAAAATTAAATGCTTGTTTCATAAATAGTGACACAGATTTTTTTTTTTATGATGTAACTGCCTTGCTGCTGAAATGCTCTGTACCAATAAACTTGGCTTGATTCGACAAACGTCCTCTGGCCTGCGCTTTGTACAGCCCTGCTCTAAACATGCTGAAGTCTCATACATTATTAATGTAAACACAAATGGTTATAGTTCTAGTTTTTTTTTTTTTTTACCTTTATGACAGATACACAAGCTGTAATATCTCCATATTATATGACTGTGAGCTAAAAGCAAGTGTTTGTTTCTGACGTTCTGCCAGGAAGAAGAGGCAGGCGGAGTTTGAGACGTGCCTCAGGCGAATGATGAAGCGGTTCAAGAAGGACCTCCTGATAGACACACACAAGGTGAGAACACCGTGCACGTCTCCTTCCTCTCCTTTGGCCTCGTTTGTCAGCGCGGCGGCGGGGGTGTCCGATCTTCACCGACCTCTGACCTCCGGTGTTTCAGGTCCACCTCCTGTGCCTTCTAGCTAACGGGATGTTCCGCAACAGGCTGTGCAGCGAACCGGACCTGCTGGCTGTCGCTCTGTCTCTGCTGCCCCCGCACTTCTGCACTGTGGCGAGGGAGCGCATTGACCAGAAATACCTCTCTGGACTCCTCAAGTGGTGTGTGTGAATGTGCTGAACTTTGAACGTTTTGTTTTTTTTTTTTTTTTTTTTTTTTGGCTATAAAAAAACCAAACAAACAAAAAAAAAACTCTAAATGTCCTTAAACTCTGCCAACCATGTGAAGGTGGACATTGGAATCCTCAAAGTAGGGTTGAGGATTGTATTTATTTATTTTATCATATTCTACCTTTTTGCCCCTTTTAGGTTTAGAGCGACCTTCACCCTTGACCCCAGTCTTCCCACTGAGGAGCGTCCGGACCCTCAGGCTCTCCTGGAGAGGCGACTGGGAAGCCTCTCAGCCAGAGACCACCAGGAAATGACTCATGTTGGTGTTTTTACCCCCACTCAATGCAATCCATTAACAATAAATAATAGTTTCAGCATTAATTCCATATAATTTGTTTTTCCTGCAGCTTTTCCTGTTATTCCTGAGGTCTCTGCAGCTCTTCTGCCGACTGGTTCTCTCTCTGCACCCAGTTCCTTTCAAGCCTCCATCCTCGAAGGTGATAAATAGCCTTTTGCTAACTTCATGTTGATAGACATTTTCTGCTTAGATGATTTCTTGATTCTGCAGGTCAGGCAGTAATCAGACTTGAGTATAGCTATTGATTGTGACCTCCGTCTTTCAAAAGAATACTTAAATTATTGCTTTATTATAGGTTCATTATAGGAGCTACTTCTCAGTGCGAAGCTGGTAAAAACTTAAAGGGTTAAAAGAGGAGCCATGTTGTGGTGACTTTCTGAAGGCAAGGTTTCAGGAAAAAGCAGGAGTTTTTAAAGAGACAGAGTCCCAACTTCAAGGTGCTAAATTATGAAATCTGTCATATTTGATAGAGCATTTTGATTAGAAATGACTGTAAAACAGTTGATTGTGCGATTGATTTATTCTGTGTGGCTTGAAAACACAAAATCCTGCTCCTTTAATGTCAACGTTAGCTTGATCTGAAACATTTAGGCGTGACAAAAGCCTGGAGAAAGCTTTAGAGGCACAACTGTAATAACCATAAATATCTATTTTTCCCAGTCCAAAGGGCCTAGAACATCAACTGGCGCCCCAGAACGTTGCCAGACGAGCCAGGAAAGCTCCAAGAGCAACTCTCCTGAGACAAAAGTTTCTCCAGGCACCAAGAGACCAGCTCAAGGTGAGAAAGTCAAAGGGAGCAGCGGAGGCAAGAAAGCAAAGAGGAAAAAAATGAAGGAGGAGGAAGAGGAGAAGCCCGTGTTATCTGCAGGCCAGAGACCAAAAAACTCCAAACGCCGCAGCGTCGCCTCAAAGGTCAGCTACAAAGAGGAGAGCAACAGTGAGGAAGAAGAAGAGGAAGCTAGTGACGCCGAGGAATATCAGGAATCCAGCGAGGACGATTTTGAAACCTGCACCAAACGTGCGAGAAAGAAGATGAGGAACGCAAAGAGCTCTGAGAAGACCTCAAGAACCCAAGGCACTCGAAAGAGAAGAAGAACCGGCGAGAAAAACGAGGACGGTGAGTGGGAGGAGTGTAAAGAGGAGGATGATGAAGACGAAGGCGCGACGAGCAACAGAGCGAAGAGACGGAGCGGGCAGAGGAAAGACGGACCTGGAGCGGACGAGTGGTTGGAGGTCTACCTGGATAAATCGTCTTCGTGGGTGTGCGTGGACGTGGAGCACGGAGTCGAAGTTCCCCACCTCTGCTCGCAGAACGCCACCGCGCCGCTGACCTACGTGGTGGCGGTGGACGGAGACGGCTTCCTGAAGGACCTGGGCAGGAAGTATGACCCTACCTGGATGACGGCGTCCCGGAAGAGGCGGGTGGATGACGAGTGGTGGGAGGACACCCTGGAGCCGTTCATGGGCCCAGAGGACGAGCGGGACAAAAAGGAGGAGAAGGAGGTATGTCCAAACAGTCATGAAACGCTTCATGAATTATTTTCTCAACCCTTTAGATTTTGTTACTTTTTAAAAAAAAAAAATCTTTTAATTATTTGCTTTTTTGTAGTAAATCCAGTGCTTGTAAAACCATTTATCTCTCTTGAACTCCTGCGCTTTGGCTCAAACTGTGATGAGTATTATTGGGATTTCATGTGATGGATCAATACAGATGTGAACTGGAATGAAAATGATCCATAGTTTTCCAAAGGTTTCTACCAATAGAAATCTGAAGTGCATTTGGTATTTCTGTTGAGCCTTTTTAAGTTTGATACCCCTTAAATAACCAACCATAAGCAACCAGTCGCCATCAGAAGTCACCTTATTAGTAAATGGAGTCTGTTAACGTGTCATATAATCCAATTTTAAATCCAGCTGTTCTTTAAAGACCAGCACTTCAAGAGGTGTGATGTTACTGCAAATGTTTGGCTAAATTACGTACGATGTGACAAATCAGGTTAATTGTGAATGATCTGAAAGGTTGTGTCAAGGAAAAGAAAATGCACACTTTATGCGTTTACTCATAAATAAACTGTGTGTTGTTTTTGATCATTTCACCTCCCTTCTCAGCTCCAGAGCAAGCTGCTGAACAAACCTATGCCGACCTCCATAGCGGAGTATAAGAACCATCCTCTGTACGCCTTAAAGAGACATCTGCTGAAGTACGAGGCCCTCTATCCTCCCACAGCCGCTGTGCTCGGATACTGCAGAGGAGAACCGGTGTACTCCAGGTCAGTTCTGCCCCTGTCCTTATTGAACTGGTACGCAGATGTTGCACACATTTATACATTTACACTGCGGGGAGATCAGCTGTACTGAGCCAGGAGATGGACATGAGTATTTAAAATGTTCGGTAGCCTGCAGAATCTGAGTTTTATGCAGTCGGTAGCAGTTTGGAGTTTAATTAGGCTTCCTTTTTTGCATAAAACCAAAAAACTTTTTCTAAACAGCAACAAGCTTGTCAACCAGGGTTCTACTGTAAATATTGCCCTAAAGATGGAAACATGTTTTTCTGTGACCACCTGATGGTGCTGTGTTGTTCTTTAAAGTTGTTCTTCTCCACTTCTCAGTCCACAATTAATGTCATTTTAATATTGCACCTTTATTAGAAATACACCTAAAAGTTTTCAGTAAGGTGCTTTACAGGGCAAATAACAATAAAGAGGATATGATTATATTCAGACACATGTAGTAGATATTTAAAAGAAAACCATAGGATACACTTTTAAAGACAAATTGGGGTAAAAGAGAAAAATAAAAGCATCTTAGATTTGTTTTAGAAATGCTCATTTTATTTGCATATCTAAAGTCTGATAAAACACGATTACATGTGTTTCTCCTTTATCTTTCTTGCTCTGAATAGGTGACCAGACCACAGAGTTCAGGGACTCAAATGGCTTCTTAGACATTGTGGTGCTCTCCCATTTTAAATGTTATAAATTAACAGCTGGTCTTAAAACCTGAATGGTAACCAGTGAACAGAAAGAAGCCTGACAAGCCATGTTTGACTGTAGCAATTGTTTTTCCTTTCTTTACAGAGATATTCTGCTGTTACCTAAAACCTACATAAGTAGACAATAAAAAGAACATTATAAATGCAATTTTTGTTTCCTTCCTCCAACGCAACATTTTGCTCATTTCAGTACCTGTAATAAAATTTCAAACAAGAATAATTCATTTTCTGTCATCGTCAATCATGAGTGACTGCTGGTTCTGGTGGTTTCTGGAGGTTTCGCTTTGCCAGCATGAAAATAATTTTAAAAATGGGGGGAAAAAAAAAATATTTCTGTCTTCTTCTTTGTTAGAGATTGTGTGCACACCCTCCACTCCAGAGAAACCTGGCTGAAGGAAGCTAGAACCGTCCGACTTGGAGAGGAGCCGTACAAGGTGACACCACAGCTGGATCCTGTTCGAGGGAACCTATAAATGAAAACACGGTTCTACTCCTGCGTTTTAAATGTGTCCGATCGACATCTAGATACAACCTCTTTTTAATGTTCCTGTTATCAGATGGTGAAAGGCTTCTCCAACCGTTCCAGAAAGGCCAGGATGATGTCCGAGATGAAGGACGAGAATGACCTTCCTCTGTTTGGAGAATGGCAGACTGAAGAATACCAGCCGCCAATAGCTGTGGATGGGAAGGTACGTAGCTGCCTCAAGAAGAAACACACAGTTGTGCTCATATGTTTGTAAACCCTGATTTATTTATTTATTTATTTATTAGCAATCTTTTAAAGAACATGAAATTGCAACAAGTGGGAAATTATTGGAAACAACCAAAATTTCCATCATATCTTCAAAGACGATTATTCAAGATGCAAAGAAACACACTTAAAAGTTGGCCGCCTGTTTGCAATACGCCGGGTTGCCAGAAGAAAGCCAATACTAGGCTATAATTCACAGAGACACGTTTACGGGTAAACTTTACTGCCATAAGTCAAGAGCACACATTTTCAATTTGAAAGCTGAGTTTCATTTCTTTGTTCTCAAAACTTGTAATGCTTGCAGTCAAAACTTCTGCTCTCTTCCAGCTCCAGCAAATACAATAAAAGTGCTAAACTGTACATCTGTGAAATCCCATCAGCAGTGTGTCCTATCCCATTTAAAGAGGGAAAATTAACAGAGAAACATGCAACATTTTCGGCACCATTCTCTTGTTATGTGCTCCCTCTGTGTCCCGTTCAGGTCCCCCGTAATGATTACGGTAACGTCTACCTGTTTAAAGCCTGTATGATCCCGGTGGGCTGCGTTCACCTGAGGCTGCCCAACCTGCACCGCGTGGCTAAGAAGCTGGACCTGGATGCTGCGCCCGCGGTCACAGGATTCGACTACCACGGAGGATACTCACACGCTGTGTAAGACCCGACGGCTGGTTTACACACACTGCCACAACAGCAGCAGATGCTTGACTTTAAACCTACAAGCTCCGGCTTTACCTTTTTGAATTTCCTCATCGTGTATTTGATCATTTAGTAAATGAATAATTGATTTCTCTCCATTTCAGGACTGATGGTTACATCGTGTGTGAAGAGGATGAGGAGGTCCTCCGAGCTGCCTGGGTGGTGGAGCAGGAGATTCAGAAACGGAAAGAAAAAGAGGTGTGGATCTTTCTGGGGTTTGTTTTTACTGAGTGGACGTTTTGAACTTCAGGTTTCCCACAAGGTCGGAACGAGTCTGGAAGAGTCTGGGTGTCGGTTATTCCTCTGCGTAAATGTTTGATCCGACTGTCCATTTGAACGTCTAAACTTCTTTCTTTCTTTCTGCCGCCCAGAAAAAAGAGAAGAGAGCGATCGCCAGCTGGACCCTGCTGGTGAAGGGACTCCTGATCAGAGAGAGGCTGAAGCAGCGCTACAGCCAGAAGAGCCAGAGCCTGGGGAGCATCGCTCCCGGAGAGGAAGCCGGAGGTTTCTCCTCCGATGAGGACGGGGTCGAAGTTGATCCTCCCGCAGCCAAAACGGCATCTGAGACTCTGGCGCTGTCCTGGCCCCAAAACAGACAAGCAGAGGAGGATGCAGGTCCAGGCAAACAGAAGAAGAAGAAGACGACGACAAAGCGAGAGAAGAAGGGTCAAGAGAAACATTTATTTCCTTTTGAGAAAGTTTAAAGCTAGAAACCAAACATCAATGGTTTTCCTTTGGGGGAAAAAAAAAAAAAAAAAAAAGTGAATCAACAAAGCACTAAACTGAACACTTCCATCATTTTCTTGCTTTGGTAGCAGGATGTAATGCTTCTCAGGAGCTGATGCCACAAATTTTAGCAAGACTGAACAAAAAGATTAGGCGAAGAAAGGAGAGGAATGCTTCTTCCAGCTGTGATGCTTTTTTGTATTTGCTTGTTCACTTTGCAATAGTCTTACATTTGGAGCCAGCAGGAATCCTCTTGTTAACAACCTTTCTGTAGAGAAAACAAACACAGTATGAATGTTTTTTAAAAAAAGTGTCCTTCAGGTTAAGGTGTGAAAATCATCACACTGCTGCTGGGTTAGAGGTGGCTGGTAGGTTTAGCATTTACTGCCTCTGTTGGTGAAGATGTGCGCAATACATTGCACATTATGTTTTATTGCAGCAGTATAATCTCACACTAAAGTATTTTCAGCATTTATAGAGATCTTTTACCTCCCGCATCGTTTTTTTTTTCTCGCTGTGCACAGCATCAAGATAAACCTGTGTCCTCCACCAAGTTGTTGTTTTAAACTTTTTAATCGCATCTCTGTAGATATTGAAAAGTTCCAATAAGCATTTATTTTTTCGTGCGGCTATTTCCTGACTTGTTGATCAACACACATATCTACCTTACTTGAATGCCTTCTTGTTTTTCCCCATTTTGAAGAGAAGAAAAGAGAAACGGCCCTCTGTGTCGCATTATATTTATACCCCAGGTTGTCATGGTTTGCTTGAGCTTCTGAATAATGTTATTTTAAATGAATTGTTAGAGATGTTAAATGTTGGATTGTATGCCCCTCCCTCTCCCCCCACTGAATCAGCTAACAGGTTTAATTTTTCAGTGTGAGATTATACTCCTGTGGTATTAAAGGAATTTACTTCATGGCTTTTTAAACGCAATTTTCCCAATAATTGTAGAATTTGCAGCCGACGATAATGTGCTGAAGATAATTACAGTGGTTGGTTGAATTGTATTGGTGGCTGTCTGCTGATCCACCAGTTGTTTTTTTTTTTTTTTTTCACGCTCTATATAAATGAATCTGCAACAAAAACAAGACAGTGGAAATTCAGGGAGGACCAAAAGTCCTGCTGTGTTTATTTAACATCCAATTGTACAGATTTGTCCATTTTAACGCAATCACAGTGACATTTAGCATTGATGTGAATCGGTTTTGGTTTGTTAGGTGGAAAAGCACTTGATGATCAAAGAGCAGGCTGAGTCCTAGAGTTCAGGATGTCCTTCTCCTATTGAAAATGTCCTCTTGCTTATGTGCTCCATTCTTTCAAGGAAATTTTATTTTCATACAGATTCCTTTGTGCCACTTTCCACATTTGTCTTTGCATCTTTTGTCACTTTTTCTCGACTTTAATTTCTCCAATATTTTTGTACACGAGGTGACGGGAGCTGTAATGAAACTAGTAATGTGTTTTTCTATGAAAAGTATTTTTGTAAGAAATGTTATGAGTAAAAAGCAAAATAACCAAAAGAATTGATGAAGTCTCTTTTTTCCCCCAAGCATTTACAAGACAAATAGAGTTATCAAGTTTTAAACCTCTAAGCAAAGGGCAGATCTGAGATCATTTGACTTGAAGCTAAACCCTCTTGTGCAAACTGAACAAGAATATTGATTAGATTAGGCATCATAGATGGAATATTTACTGCATCTTTTCAATTGACACAAAGTCCTCGTTTATTCTATTATTTTATTCTTAATGCATTGATATAGTTGCAATTAAAATTAAAATTTTCCTAGATACATGCTAATTGACTAACTTTGAGTAATTTTTATGATCTTAAGATAAACTGAAGCAGGATTGCAAATAATAATCTACAAATAGTATCCTGAAGTCTGTTATTGTTTCTTGGTTCTCACACTTTTCTTGATGTCCATATGTTGTGGTTTTATCTGTGTGTTTCTTCAAAGTTTCTTTATCAGGGGAGGCTGACTGGGAGGCATTTGTGTACAGTGAACTGACGGTTCCAGTACTTTCTGGTGAATTTTGCAGCTGATTCATTTATTAAAATAAATTAATTACTCATCTAGTGAATGTGAATATGAGGAACTTTAAATCTACACTTTAAACTTAGATTTGAATCTTCAATGTCTGGCTTCAATTTTTCTTTTTCTTTTTTTACCCATTTTGTCAAGTTACAACTACAACACTCAATGCATTTTAGTAGCATTGAAAAGTGGAAGGAAAACTATTCTTGTTCTCCATTGTTTTCTTTACTATTTAAAAACTGAAAAGTGTGGCGTACATTTGTTTGCAGACACATTTGATCTAATACATCTAAATAGAATGCAGCACAAACTAGCTGCATTCAGAATTGAAGATCTTTTTGGCCTACGTGCAAAACTAACACTAGATATGACACATAATTACAGTAAAACATGATGGGGGCGTCATCGTCTTACAACCACTGGGACACGGAAGGCGGTCAGAGATGATGACTGCCTTCCCTGAGGATAGATGAAGCAAAAATACAGGGGAACATTGAAAGAAAATAAGTTAGACGCCCTACCAGGCTTGAGAATAGAACAGTAGAATAACAACCGTAAACACAGTCAGTATCTTGAAACATTCAGGACCAGAAGATTTGTTTTCTACTGCTTGAACAATAAAAATGAATTCTGGTTAATGTAAGCAAAAGCTCCAGACACAAAAGCCACTGCACACTTTTCTTTTATTGAACTTTCCTTTAAAACCCCGGCTGCTTTGAAAACCGAATACAAAGGAAACGTACCACTCTTGTCGAATGTAAAATATAAACAGTTGCAGCATTAAGCACATTAAACCTACCTCCTCAGCAGTTCTGGACCTATTATCTCTGCATTTACTCCAGCTCCTCAACCCCCTCATTCTCATTTGCAATACAGAAGCACATTAGAGGATAATGCATAAAAATGGAGGCCTTGCTCCGATACCTTTATCGCCACAAGTGCATTACCTCATCTAACAGAAGAGATGCATTAATGTTACACAGTTTCACTTTAACCTATGGAACTTGTGAAAAACGCAGTGGGCATGTTCTGGGTCTGTCAGATGACTGATTTATGGGCCATTAGTGGCCATGAATGTTCTTTATGGTATGACATCAGGACATTGGACACTGAAGACACCTTCCATGTTCACTCAAGAGCATTTCATGTACTCTGAAGTTTTATGATGTTACACTTGTTTTTGTTGCTGACATAAGTGTGGGATGTGAAACCCAGAGCAGCAGAGCATGCACTTAAAGCTGGAGAAAGAACGCTTGTACGAACTAGAGTGGCTATTATTACTGTGTTAAATTGACATGGCTTCTCTTTGCATCTGCACACTCCATTTTCAGTCCAGTGCGTGAAATTGCCAATAAATAATTCTAAGTAACAGGAAGTAAAAAAAGGGCTTACTTTTTACCAAGGTAGATTTAAATGTACATTTATAACTAATTATTTTTGAATATGCTTATTACTGATTTTTTTTTTTAACAAGTCATTTACTGTTTTATTACAGACCCTAAAGAGCACAGTGGGAGGAGCTAACTGCTAATTGGCCTTAACTTGGTTTGCTGTGCAGGTCAACCAATCAAATTTTAAGGTCAGGAGTGAGAACGTGATAGTCTCACACACGACGTAGGCAACATTTACAGGTAATATCAAAATAGTTCTAATACGTAATGATTTTTCTTCTCCAAGCAGGGAATAACACTTTTCACTTTTCTTACGCAAATTCTATGTGACTTTTTGTTGTTGTTGTTGTTGTTGTTTATCGATTTGATAATGTTATGTCGTTTTTATTACAATTCAGATAGTTACTTTACTAAATACTACTGATTTTTTTAAAAAAAAGTTAAATCAGTATATTTTATTTTCTCAAAACATAGAAGAATTAATGTTTTGACTGGAATTTATTATTGGGTTATTTTGGGATGATATTAATAATAATAATAATAATAATAAAAAAATAAAATAAAAAAAAAACTCGTTCATTTAATCGAGCATTTTAGTGCTGATAAGGCGCTTTAATGCGACCACAGAGGAGATTCTACAGCGCAGAGAAAAGCGGACGTTACGTCGCAGATAAGCACCTCTCCACCTTCCGCCAAGCTAAAGAGTGAAAATCGCTGTTTAGGTTCCCCCCACACAGATGCCGTTGTGCGCTGTTACAGCAGGTCAAGCCACCTCTTCTCTGACAGGTAACTGCCGCCTGGTTTTTGCTCTGGAAATGAACGCAGCAGTTGTTTAAATGGACGTGTTTACTCCGGAGCTGCACCGGGCCTTGTTTACATCTCAGTCCCCGGAGTAGAGTAGGTGAGAGGCGGAGGCTGAGGGGAATGATAAGGAAGGGTAGCTACTTCTTGATGTGCTTTTTTTTATTCTTAACTGAGTAAGCATAACTTGTCGTATAAAACTTTTGCAAGCTCCCCCCGTAGCGCTCATTGGTGTAACTCGTCGTATTTTGGGGGTTTTTGCATATCGCTACTTAAACTGCTGAGCACAACTACAGCACGCTAGCCTGGAAGCTAACCCTGCTAACGACAGAGGCAGCCACTCTGGGGATTTAACTTCAGCCGTTCATCTGGCTCTCTGGTCGGACTAAAATGCCAGTGCCATCACTTTATTAACCAGTTTTCACACTTTCAGTTCCCGTTCCGAACACACCAGCAGAGTTCAGTTAAACCTGTTATCTAACCTGTACGATCGCTGTGTTACATTAGCCTAGCGGGATGTGTGTCACCCACTTTGCTGACTATTTTTAACTTGGATCGGACGGAATGTGGACGCTGGTCTAAAGCTAGGCTGGCACCGGGACCCGCTGGCTGGCTTCCCCCGTGTTTTCTTTCCAGATTAATATTTGCAAAGTCACATCTGAAGTCCGTTACCAGTTGACCTCTTTAAGATTTTTTTTTAAACTGTGATAAATAATCGTTTATCGAATTTAACCAGGCCACCTGGGCCTTGTGGTGCCTTATAATTCCCATAGTTTTTATTGGGTATGCTTATAAAGAATTCAGTATTAAAGGTGGTAGTCATACTTTTCTCTAAACTCATATAAGGCACTTTATGGTAAATAAAAAAAATCTATTTGTCGAGTTTTCTATTTAGTTCGATATTTCTGGTGTAAAATAATAATTATACAATATATTTATTTAACAAATATCAAAACATGCAGCTAGCCCACACGCCTCTGGTGATGTTGCAAAACAGCTGCTTATTTTTAAGTATGGCCATTTGCATTTCTTGTTTTTTCTGTTTTGCTTAGTAAATTAAGGGGTGTT